AGTTTTACGCCTAGCCCTCGGTGCCTCCAGAAGAAGCTGATCAGCTGATCTAAGGCACCGCGACGGATTATACGGACGCAAAAGTTCCACGAGATAGGATGGTGCCAGCCCATTTAAGGACTTATAAACAAATAAAAGAATCTTAAAACGAACCCTAAAACGCACCAGAAGCCAATGGAGAGATGCCAGCACTGGCGTTATGTGGTCCCTCTTATGCCCCCCAACCAATAACCGAGCGGTGGCATTCTGGACCCTCTGGAGGTGGGCAAGACCCGATTGACTAACTCCAGCGCACAGTGCATTACAGTAATCCATACGAGATGTAATAAACGCGTGGATCACTGTCTCAAAATGCCGCCATGACAAAAAGGGTTTTACTTTCACTAACTGCCTTAAATCGAAAAAACCAGATTTTATGACCGCATGTATCTGGCTCTCCATTTTCAAATTGGTGTCACCCAAATCAGTGACCACCGGTCGCACATACTGCCCCAAAAAACCTAAGTCTACAGGAGAAGGGTCACCAGGCGTATTCTGGCCAAACACTATAACCTCAGTTTTAGCATCATTTAACTTTAAATAATTTAACGACATCCAGCCCTTAATATCGGCAAGACATGCTAAAAGTGGTTGAATCGAGTAGGTGTCCTTCTCACTCAGTGGCATAATAATCTGGACGTTGTCAGCATAACAATAAAAAGACACCCCATGTTTCCTAAAGATAAAGCCAAGGGGAATTAAATACAGTGAAAAAAGCAAAGGCCCCAAAATGGAGCCCTGTGGGACCGCAGATAACAAAGGGTTGTCACAGATTCAACATCTGCCAACCCAACAGACATCAATCTACCTGATAAATATGACTTAAACCATGCTAGGGCAGCACCTCCTGTCTGAAAGTGTATGCTGATCAGCTGGCCCCCATCTTCACACTTATCTTCAGCAGGTCACTGTAGCTGTGTGAAGTCCCCTCCTCTTCAAATGCTCCACTAACACTCAAGTCCCCAAGAAAACCTCCATCAGTGGACTGAACGACTACAGACCTGTCGCCCTGACATCTGTAGTTATAAAGTGCCACCTGAAGGACATCGTAGACCCCCTGCTAGACCCCCAGCAGTTTGCCTACCGGGCAAACAGGTCAGTGGACGATGCGGTGAACATGGCATTGCATTACATCCTGCACAGGTGCCCCCCAAGAATGTGTGCTCTCCCCTCTGCTGTTTTCACTCTACACCAGTGACTGCACCTCAAAGGACCCCTCTGTTAAGCTCGTAAAGTTTGCTGATGATACAACGGTCATTGGTCTCATCTGAGATGGTGACGAGTCAGTCTACAGACGGTAGGTTGAGCAGCTGGTCCTATAATGTAGCCGCAACAGCCTGGAGCTGAACACGCTCAAAAAAGTGAAGATTACAGTGGACTTCAGGAAGAACCCTCCCACCTTACCCCCACTTACCATACTTGGCAGCACTGTATCAGCGGTAAAGTCCTACAAGTTCCTGGGCTCCCCTATCTCCCAGGACCTGAAGTGGACGTCCAACATCAGGACCATCATCAAGAAGGCACAGCAGAGGATGTACTTCCTGCACCAGCTCAGGAAAATCGACCCGCCCCAGGAGCTGCTGATACAGTTCTACAGAGGAATCATTGAGTCTGTTCTCTGCACCTCCATCACTGTCTGGTTTGGCTCAGCAACCAAACAGGACAAGTACAGACTTCAGCGGACAGTCAGGACTGCAGAAAAGGTCATAGGTATGAGCCTGCCCTCCATGGAGGACCTGTACACCACACGGGTCAAAAGGAGGGCAGAGAGGATCACTGCAGACCCCTCACACCCCGGACACAATCTGTTTGAATTCCTCCCCTCTGGACGACATTACAGGTCACTGTACGCCAAGACAACCAGGCACAGGGACAGTTTCTTCCCCCAGGCTGTCAATCTGATGAACACTTAACCAATGACAGTATGATTGGACAATAACCCTCAGTGCAGTACCTGTGTGTAATACATTGTACAGATTATACAGATTCATACAGATCTCTATTTTAAGTACTCTGTTTTTATCCCTTATCCCTATTGATCTCATTTCAACAAACATTCCTTGTTGTCTGCATTGTTTACTGTCTGTTTATACTGCTTATTCTGCATTGTTTGCACTGTTTGTTGCTGTCACTATTGCTGTTAATACTGCTTATTTTGTTATATTACACAACCTTATGCTGGTTTACTGTTTGCACATTGAGAGCCAATGTACCAAAATCAAATTCCTCATGTGTCCATCACACCTGGCCAATAAACTGATTCTGATTCTGATTCTGATTCATGACACAAACCTGTCTGATACTATGATATAGTTTCTAGTTTCAGACTTGTTACCTTGACTTTTTAACCCAAGAATACTATGCTGCAGAATATCTGAAAACCTTGGTGGCTCTGTCTGTCATGTTTTAAACGAAGTGATCACTAAACAAACCTAAATTTGTCACACACTTTCAATCATAACCATAATCCTTCCTCAACATTAACTCTGCTATAGCTGCAGATCACAATCGCTTCAAACATTATTGGCACTGAGCGCAGTCTGAGGTTTTACTTATTTCCTCAATATTAAATGCAATATTAAAATATCAGCACTCTACTGTATGTATTACATTAATATGTTTTATATTTATATTCTTTTTTTTCCTACATATTATTTCAGTAAGACTGACTTTTTCCTTACTTCTCAGTCCTACTATGTTTTGTCTCATCAGATCAAAGCAACAGACAACGGGCGTCCTCAAAAGTCCTCCACAGCTCGCCTGCACATTGAATGGATCCGTCGACATCCTCCCTCAGTGTTCTCACTGCTCTTTGACGAGCCATTCTACAATTTCACTGTCATGGAAAATGACAAAGTGGCTGAGATTGTGGGTGTGGTGTCCCTGCAGCAGAGCTCCTCCCCCTTGTGGTTTGACATCACAGGTAAAATCTGATGGAGGGCTTTTTGTAGTGTGAAGTAGAGCGTGCCCAGATTCGGTGCATGGTGTGTGTCGGGCTGTGTTGGTGTATATGAGGTGCAGCTCAGGTACTGTGGCCTCGCAGCATGATCTTTTATGCTCTGCCCATCCCAGTCACCATGGCGACAGTTTCTCTAGCTGCCAGGTCTATATTGTCTGTAGGAGGTAAAGTAACAGAGACAGTTGGCAGTCTATACACAGTCAAGATGGGTATCGAGAACCGATGCTACATTGGTAGCAGTTCCTGATTGATCAGTTCCAAAATATCAGTAAGCTTGTGGACAAATGGTGCTACTTTCCATATTTAATGTTAATTAATTCTAACATAACTGGTTTTTTCATATGTTGGTGCTATACTGGATCACCAGGAGGGACCCTCTGCTCTGGGTGACAAAGGCATTCACATGCCTCTGTGCTCTTTAGTCATGGCAGACAGGGCAAGACCTTCAAAAGTGTCGGGTTGCCTCACAAAATTTAATGAAAAGGCAGCTAAATGTAATATATGTAAAAAGTAGTTGCATGGAAATACTAACATATTCAGCATTCCCTGACTCTGAAGTCGTGCAGTGTTTCTGACTGCTGTAGCGAAGCGGATGCTGCTTCAGTGCAGCCTCCCGGTGTTGTGTCCCGTTTGTGGCTCTGATGCCAATGGGACCTGTCAAACTGAAAATGCATTGTCCTGACCTCGCCAAGTCAAGGTGATAATCATTATTGTTATTAAAAAAAAATAGGTGTAGCTTTAGTTGTTAAGTTAGGCCCCAGTTAGCATTGGTTTTAAATATGTCAAATTCATGTTCCTAAATAATCCCATAGATAGCAGCCCTTGCTGGACACAGGTGAAAGACAGGGGAAAAAGTATAATTTTACAGTTTTTGTTACAGCTTTACAGTAGTCCAGTTGGTTTAGTTAGCCTATACTCAGTAGCCAACAGCTAGTGTAGCATAAATTGCTAACTGCTAGGTAGCCTAAGTTTGAACTTAGTGTGAGCTGTCTTGACATCCACAGATAAATAATTTTTTCATTGCTCACATTTTCAATTGCAGAGAGATGACTACAGCCCCAAACCCTATTTACCAAACCAGAGACACTTTATCAAACATCCTCAGTGATAAACAGCTGAATATTTTCATATTTTGTCTTTATTTTTGCACCAAATTATGGAGAGTTGTATCTGGTAAGTATCGGTATTGATAAGTAGTATTAGTATCGATATCAGTACAGGTAAAATCCTATCGATACTCACTCCGTAATAGAGAACTTCCATGGATTGAATCAGGATAAAACTTTAACAAAAATTATTTTCATGATTGTTAATCAAGACTGTTTTCAAAGAGACTATCTCTTCTAAAGATTTACTGAGTTACAACCCCAAATCAGAAAAAGTTGGGATGGTATGTAAAATCAAAATTAAAACTTAAAATAGTGATTTGTAAATCATCTGTGTCCTGTAGTGGCACAGTGACGCAGTGGTTAGTGCTGCCACCTCATAGAAAGCCCAACCCAGTGCCTTTGCATGTTCTACCTGTTCCTGTGTGGATTCTCTCCGGGTATTCCAGCTTTCTCCCACACTCCATAGACATGCAGCTTAGGTTGATTGGTGACTCTAAAAATTGCCCATAGGAGTGAGTGTGAGTGTGTGTGCTTGTCTGTCAGCCCTGTGATACACTGGTGACCTGTCTAGGGTGTACCCCTCTTCTTACCTAATGTCAGCTGGAATTGGCTTCACCCCACCCTCCACCTTCAACACTGTCTCCTCTATTAGATTGAAAACAATACAGCAGCAGATTATTGGATGTGATATCTCATCAATTTTATTCTTTGTTCAAAATAGATGCTTCCTAAAATCCTGATGTCTACAACATATTCCAAAAAAAGCTGGGACAGTAAATTATTTACCACGGTGTGATGTTGCCATTCCTTAACACTAAAAAGACATTTAGGGACTAAGGACACCAAGTGATTAAGTGTGCCAAGTGTAATTTTTCTGATTTTGGGTTGTAGTTATAAGTGTTATTCATGGTTTATTTAGTTACTTTTTAAACTCTGCTTGGCTTTTGCTGGCTCACTTTCTATGAAGAGCATATTGGCAGATTTTAAGGCCATTCCTTAAATTGGGGAATGCCCAGCACTGCACATTTAAATCCCCTTTATTCATCAAAGTTCACTTTCACCCACTTTTAAGGCTTAGCCAGATTATGTTATGCCCAGCATCCTGAGCTCAATTTGTACACATTGTGTGGTGATGATTTTGGTGTGGTACGAGGGATTTCATAATTCTAATAATCAGTACTTTTGATTCTAATTCTATTCATGTTAATGCAATTCAATACTACATGGACATTAGCAGTTCCCCAGCTGTGGTGCATGCACTGTGGACCCTTGTCAGCACAGACCAGATGGACAACAATGACCAGGGAGGACTGTGGTTCCCACAATGCTCCATCCATCTTTCCTTTTGTTATCACTGAGCAGTGGCAGTCAGTGTGTATCCAGCTGGAGAGTCCTTCTGACCAATGATTCTGGCTTGCCGTCTCTTGATGTTTGTGTCCATCTCTTTCTGTCTGTAAATGTTCTTTCAGTGTGTATTCTCCTCCTTTTCATTTATTCATATTAGTGAGACAATATAAATTACCTTGGCTAATCTCTGACTCTGGTCAAAGTGACAAAGTACACTACCAGTCACAGGTAGTACAAAATAAAACAAACTTACAAAAACAAGTTACATAACAAGTCCTTCACATAACATCCATACATTATACAATAAATTATAGACATTATTAGGGCAAGGCACGTCCTCATACCACTATTACCAAGACAATTCATAGAAGAGTTTTCTAATGTGCCTCTTACATGGTTAAGTTTCAAATTAAACAATTTAGATTTAAGGTTAGGGTAGGCGAGTATGCTTTTTTACTTCGATCATGAGCTAACTAGTTTGAATTGCTTGCAACATTTTCTGATGTCCTGTAAATAGGATTGTACTCAATGGCAAAAAATCATTTAATTCTGCAAGAATCACATTTTCTAGTCATTTTACCCCAAACATTTATATCCTAACAAAAATAAATAAAATACTGGACACTGGTCTTTGAAAAGATGTTGTTAAGCTACTGTATTACCAACTTTAATCCACAAATATAAGTGTCATGGTTAGAGTCCTTGAGTCAGTGCAGCAGTACTAAACCAAAATGACTAAACATTTTCCTACAAATGACCTGACATGATAAAATTCCTAGAGAGACATAGTTATTAGGTTATTTTGCAGTACTCTTCATCACATGTACAAATTCTGTGATAGAGGCTCAGCTCGTCAGAGACAGCTGATCCCTTGCCCTTGTTTTGTCTCCTCTTCTACTTTCCTCATCACATCACACTCCTGTCCTTCTGTTCTCCTCCCCCGAGCTTGACTGTCCCTCCTGTCTCACCTTTTCTCTTCTCTCTCTCCTCAATGCTTCATACCTGGAAGGTCCCAGGTCTTTCCGTGAGATGTTCTATATTCTGCAGAGCGCTTGTGGCAAGAACTGTTCCTCAGAAGGTATCTCACTTCCACTACTGCTCTATGCTGCCTTCTGTCCACTTCTTTTCCTTTTCCTTCTTTTTCTCTCTCTCTTTTTTGGCAGTCATTGTCACCCTTTGTGCTTCTCATTGATGCTGCTACTGTATTCCTGTGATTCCCTGTTAGGATGAATGGAGTAAACCACACAGACCGTCAGTCTCAGTGGATGTGTGTTTTTTGTGTTTGTGTTTGTGTTATCCTCTGTCTGTGTCTGTGCATGTGTGTGTACATTTCACATTAATGGACTACTGTATGTTGCAGCCAAGGTTACTTGAAGGGATGAAGGTTTGGTAAAAAGGTATCACAACCTTTTTATCTGCTCCCGTAGCAACAACCCCCGGGTTACCTCAGTGACAGCTCAAATAACCTGATGTTAGCAGCACCTGTACACACATTCCTTAAGGAAATGATGTATGCTCGCATGTAGCAGTTTTCAAAGGCAAGTTCACACATGTACACAAATCTTCCACTATGTGCTGATCCATTAGCTAAATTAATGGATCAGCACTTGACTGCTAGGCAGCAGGTTTGGGACTGAAGAGGTGCAACACAGCCTCCAGGACCCTGCATCCACCCACAGTGCTTGAAACCCAACACACACCACCCTGTACCCAGCTGCCTGCATGCAACACCTCACACCCAGCAAGTGCAAAGGAAAAATTGTAACTGTGTGAATGTAGGAAGTGCTACTTGAAGCAGATGTGGGAAGGAGGGCAGAGATAATTGGAGAGAAAGGAAAAGAAAAAAAAGGTTTTTTTTTAAAGAATGAATAGAGGTGCAGATCAAAACAACAAGAGTGGTTTATATTGTAGGTGGAAGCAAAGAAAGGCAGGAGTGCACCCCTATTCGACATGTGAGGTGTCAGCATGATGCTGAAGTGTCCTACAGTACCATTTAATCCACACACAAGCTCTGAAAATGTATGGAAATTGCACTTTGTTGAGCCACCAGAGTAAAAAACTCATTTTAGACTCTGAGTGTGTAAAAATGCAGGGTATCATGTGCTACACATAGCTCACAGAGTCTGGGTGGATTTTTATATTTGTAAAATCGTACAGTATGCGTATGTGTCTTTGCAAGACTGTGGCGAGGATTGTTGTTATGATCAGAAAGAGAAAGCAACAGAAGAGAAAGAACATCTGTGTGATAGAAAAGAGTGCTCAAACATTTTACACACAAACAGACACACCCAGATTTAAATAGCAGAATGCATGCACACAAACACACCACATCCTCTAAATACACAACAGTGCTCCTTTTACTGCTAAAACTGCTCATGCCCCACCCAGCAGGCTGAGCCCAACAGACAGACACACACAGTGGACCACCTACACACCCACACAGACGTACATTTGCACAGAGTTCCATGGAACTGCTAGCAACTAATCCAAACATTTCCTGAACTTTTGTAACACTAACAATAAAAGTCACAAAATCAGTTAGTATTATATTGTTTGCTGTGTGTTGATACATTAGCAATTAACTCTAATTTAGTGAAAAAACTATAGGTATATAAACTGTGTGACATTCAAATGAATGACATTTCTAAGTATATACTACAAGCTTATTTTAAAGATAAAAAAATAAATATATACCGTATGTCCTTGTTAGTCTAAAAATGAAATGCTTCTGATTTCTGTTTTTTTTGTGTGTGTGTGTGTGTGTGTGTGTGTGTGTGTGCGTAGGTAGGATAAAGCACAGCCAATGAGTATAAACTCAACTTTAGGCAGTTAGTGGAAAATACTTTTAGAACAGAGGAGAAGCCGCCCATTCTTTGCGGAGTGTTGGATTTTCTCTCTCTGTAATTTGGCAACAGCAGACGAGAGGCTTTTTCTGGTCTCAGTAGGGTTCTTGGCAAACCCCTTCCTTCCTTATGTTCTAAATGAGGATGATTAGGTTGGATGGCAGACGCGGCTCTTTCAAGCTGCCTGTGATCACAGTTTGGTTTAGCTTCCTTCTTTCTCTTTACACTTGATCATTAATATTTTGTGGAGAACAGAGCAAACAGCACAGCACAGGTTATTCAACCCAGCTTAAAATCTCTCAATTATTTGCCTCATAGATCTGTTTAAACCACTGTGATCAGTAAAACAACATCATCACATATGTATAGAGAAGTCAGACATTCATCTCTTGGGGTGAACACCAGACTCTGTCAGGACTGTTGACCATCTGGTTAAAAGCTCAAGTTAACAGCCTGAAGTTATTATTGGTTTCTGTCATGTGTAACAGCTGAATATGTGTCCATAACCTGGGCCACTGTTTACTGGATTTCTTTAAGCATTTTACACTAAATACATACATATTTCATATTCTCTGTAGGTCATGAATGCCATGCAGTAAAACGGAGAATGGAGATTAGTTGCTTTCAGAAGATTTTGTTGATTAAGGTGTATGATTTTATGGATCATGTAATGTTTGATTTTTTTTCTAAATCAGGCTTTTTCTAGTGGCGTTATCTAAGAAAAAAAACCTATGGGTGACAGCAGATTTCATTCTAGTAAGTTAAATATTTTACACTTACAGGCTTTTTGAAAATATTACTACATTGCAAATGGAATGGTCTCAGGATGCTTTTGTTACTGTGTGCTGTATTCTGAAAATAAAAACTTGAATAGCCATAATAACCTGGGGGTTACAAATATATCATCAAATTATTTGCCTATCTTTGTTTAAACATGTTATTTGCTGGTATTTTATGTTTTAAAGGTTTTCAACAGGCCACATCAATAGAATTCCTTCCTATTCAGCTTACACAAACTGTTTGCAAAAGTGCTCATTGATTAAGGTAGTCACAACAACAGTACTCCTTCAGGTCTGCACCTTCATTGAATGATTCATTTTGTTTAGGCATTGAACAGATGAGTGCAGACTGACTCACCCATCAGGAGCTTCATCTATAAGCAGTGTCAGTGTAAGAGAGCTGCTGAGGAGTGTGTTATTATTGCAAACTGCTTCACTGCAAGTACTGTGAGTAGAGATGAGCCTGAATATCACTGGGATGAAGCTGAGTTGTTGCAGACAAAAAGAGGATATAAAGGCATGTGTTGCTGGGTACACACATAAACACACAGTACACTTTTATTAGACAGAGATGCCACTGAGGAATCCCTTTGAGTCTGCTCTACACATGTGCGCATGCAGTCATCGCAGACACACACCAACAGAGACATCCACTCATGTAGACAGCAGATCATGACAGACTTGTTTATAACACCTACAACACTCCCTGTCCAGTCAGTCTAAACGAAGCTTTTAATTCTTGGTGCGTGGTGAGACGTGGTCACCATCACAGCTCCACCTACACATCAGTCCTACCTTTTCTTCTGTCGCACCGATACTGTGTCGGGAGACATCATTAGGCCTCCCCATCATGATCTCACCTAAATCAACATTACCAGTGAACTTTTTTCTGCAAACACACGTATACAGTGAGCTCTCCCTCCATTTGGTTTGAATTTATTTTTCTGCAAACAAACTCCCTCCATTTGGTTTGAATTTATTTTGTGTATATGAGTGGAGTTATGTGCTTCTGCTCCACAAAGAAGTCAGATCCAACACAACTAGTCACTATGTTGTCAATCTCACACTGGTTTCCCTTCAAACTATAATCACTGGGCTGGGAGGATCATTTGCCTTTCAGAACACAAATGCTTGAATGGATGTCCAGTCAAACACAAAAACACATATGTTTAACTTGTATGTGCTGTACATTTCAAATGTAATAACCATGTGTGCTGTGCAGACATTCATAGAAACACAAACTCACAAAATGTTTACATTATTGGTGCTGCATGCATGGCCAGTGCTCATGCCTCATTGTGTTGCTGTGATCCCATGCTTTTGACTGTTGGTTTGCAGCTGTGTGTGTGTTTGTGTGTGAGGGATAGGGGGCTTTACCCTGGCAACAGTCATCCTTCCTTTCTCTACATCATTGCATATTTCAAGGCAAATCACTGAAGAGTGTATGTGCAGCAGTGGGCTCCAGTCATGTGCTGTTTGTGACCATTATAATCACTGTTTACTGATTAGATAGTACAGGTTGTTTGGAAAACAACCAGTTTTCTACTGTATATGCAATATTAAAAAAAAAAAATCTAATTTCAGCACATGGTTCCACATGACTGAAAACTATTACTCAGTAAATATAACCGTCTGGCTCGTGTGAAGGTGTGTATTCACATAGTTATCATACATGGTGTGTGTCCAGAGTATGTGTTATGATTAACCCTGTGTGCCCCTCCCTCCTCCTGTTCGATTTTTTTCCTGTGGAGCAGGTGGAAACAGTGACAGTGTTTTTGATGTAGAGAAGGCTGTGGGCACCATCATCATCGCCAGGCCTCTGGATGCTGAGCAGCACTCTTTCTATAACCTGACGGTGCAGGCCACAGACGGCACCAATACTGCATATACCCAGGTACCAAGTTTTCATTGTTGGCTGGGTTGTAACTGTTTTGGGACAAGTTATAATGTTAATGCATCAGGTACCACAGAGGAAGGCTGTGACTACTCCAATAGGGCAGTAGAGAGTAGGACTGAGTTAAAAGGATGAAAAAGTACTAACTATGATCGTTTGTCTATGAGTCCATTCATTAACTCTACAAACTTGTCCTTGAGGGGGACTGGAGCCAATTCCAGGTAACAATGGGGGAGAAGCAAGGTACACCCTAGATAGATCACCAGTCCATCACAGGGCTGACACATAGAGACAGACAAGCATTCACACCTATGGGCAATTTAAAGTCACCAATCAACCTAAGCTGTATGTCTTTGGACTGTGGGAACAAGCTAGAGAACCTGGAGGAAACCCATGCAGGCACAGGAAGAACATGCACAGGCCACACAGAAAGGCCTTGGTTAGCCAGCAGGTTTCAACCTGGAGCCTTCTTGCTGTACTGCACCATGGTATTTCTTATTTGAGCAGTATGCTAACCAACAGGTATGTTAATCCAGTTTTATCCAGTTCCACTTGTGGCCTGACCTGGCCCTCCTCATTCAAAAACACCATCCATAAATGATGACTGGATCACAAAAGCTAAGCTTTTTTTTTATCACAAATTAACTGCGTTATTGAGGATATGTAAGAAACAATATTACTCTAAAGTATTAGAGGATAATAAAAATAACATGAAAGGTACTTGGAATATATTAAATAAATTGATTAGAAACAGTACCAGCATGAGTAACTACCCTCAATATTTTATGGACAATGATACACCGGTCAACAGATTGGAGGATGTAGTAGATAAGTTTAATAGGTTTTTTGTGAATGTTGGTCCTGGTTTAGCAAGAAGCATTTGTACAGATGATACATCCGTCACTATAAATAACAATACA